GCTAAAGAAAAACACACATTGTAATAGTATCAAACTAAGTAGGGATGGTAATAGCAATTATTAATGTCGAGTGGAGCCAGTTGGTTTGTTGAAGCTCCTATAAGTCTGCAGAGCTGTCATAAGGAGACCGGCTACGGCACTGAGGAAGACCAAGAAGCTCCAGGGAGTCCTGAAATAGGTGTTATAGAAGTAAGCAACGTCGCTGGCCCATACTAAGTCGCAGTGGTCTTGGATACGACCTTTCAAGCCTTTGTACTTCTCAGGATTCGGCGCCAGGTACTTGCTGATCTTGTTGAACATCTCTGCTAAATTTTCATCGCTTCCAAGTTTGTTGAACAGCACACGTGCATCTCTCAGTTCCTTCACATCCTCCCCACTATCGATCAAGGATTCGAGAAAGGCTATGTACGAGGTGATCTCACACTCGTTTATATCTGAACACATCTCGTATGCTATCAAGTTCAGCAAAATTGGTATGGTCTGGTCCTCCACTAAAATGGGAGCCAGCCTAAGGGTTGGCATGCAAGAACGGTGGTTGAAATCAATGTCTGTGACGCCATCAATCTTTTCCTTCGGTTTAAAACGAATACCTTTGGTTTTCAGCTCCTTTACGTTGCGAAGTGAGGGCAGTTCTCTGATTTTATTATCAGAAGAGCACCATTTCCTCATCAGTTTCTCCAGAAGACCATCCTTTTCCTTCGGCTTCTCTTTTGATTTGACTCCTTGTCCTATCAATTTTCTTCGCAACAGTGCCAGAAGATGAACAGGCTCTTCTTGTCGTTGTCGCTGACAATGATGAGTCTGAGAATCACCCTGATCATAAATTGGTATTGATATTTCCTTGACCGGACTCAAGAGAGGCTTGTTGATGAATTTGGCGATCGAATCCTTCAATTCCTCCCGATGACTTCGTCTTCGTTCATGTGGGTCTTCGATGCAGGAGTATATCAATATCTCAAGGAGTTGGAAGGGCAGTTGGTTCTCAAGTAAGAATAAATCATGAATCATAAAGAGGCATTGATCATTCT